AATGGGAGGAGGGGCAATTCCAAATTTGGGAGGGGCCCTGAAATTCGAGACGGGGGGAGGGGACAGGCCCCCAAAATTTGGGGGGGGAGGGGTGTGACTCCCAAATCCAGCGGGAGGATCGGATTTGAGGGAAAAACCCCAAAACTGAGCTCAAAAAAAGGACCCAAAAAGCGCCAAACTCGCGGTTAATAAATTCCAAATTTGGGAGGGGCCCTGAAATTCGAGACGGGGGGAGGGGACAGGCCCCCAAAATTTGGGGGGGGAGGGGTGTGACTCCCAAATCCAGCGGGAGGATCGGATTTGAGGGAAAAACCCCAAAACTGAGCTCAAAAAAAGGACCCAAAAAGCGCCAAACTCGCGGTTAATAAAGGATTTTATTTGCATTTTCCACCCTGGTTTTTCTCCCGTTAATTCGCGTTAAAGTGCAGCAAAGGGAAAAGGTTTCTTCCATTTTCTGGGGATTTTTTTTTTTTTTTTTCATTTTTATTTTTTTTTAAATTTATCAATATTTATTTCAACTTCCCCAAAATCCTCCCAAACAAAAACTTTTTATCCCGGACGCCCGACGCACCTTTGGGGCTAAACGAGAGGGAAACGGGGGCTTTTATCAAATTATAATACAAAGGATGTAACAAAACCCACCAAAAAACGCCATAAAACAGATTTAAAAATTAAAAAAAAAGGAAAATAAAATCTAAAAAAGGTTAAAACTGAGGGGAAAAGCCTCGGGCTGGCTCCGTCCCCGGAGTCATTCGAGCTCCGCGTCTCGTGCCTCGGATTGAATTTCCAGCTCAGGGGACGACGCTCGCTCAGAGGTCACAGCTGAGTTTTTGGTTTGGTTTAGTAATAAATCCACGCTTTTGGTTTATTTTTGTTAATGAACCCACGGCTCTGCTTTATTTTTATTAGTAAATCCATGGGTTTGGTTTGTTTCAGTAATAAATCCATGGTTTGGGTTAATTTTATAAATAAATCAATTTTTTTTGGTTTATTCTGCTCAATAAATTCACATTTTCTGGTTTATTCTGCTCAATAAATTCATATTTTTTGGGTTTATTCTGCTCAATAAATCCACACATTTGTTTATTTCTTTAGCTAAATCAATTTAATTTTATTTTTTAATTGTTCCCCTTTGGTTGATTTTTCCAACAGGCCCAATTTTGTCTCTGTTACTTCTTTTATTTAACCACATTTTTTGTTTATTTCTTTAGCTATATCAATTTAATTTTATTTTTTTAATTGTTCCCCTTTGGTTGATTTTTCCAACAGGCCCAATTTTGTCTCTGTTACTTCTTTTATTTAATTTATTTTGATATAAATTTCTTCAATGAATCTTTTTTTTTTTTTTTTTTAATGGATCCACATTTTTACTTTGGTTTGTTTTATTAATTCCACTTTATTCTTTTTTTAATAAATCCATATTTTTGCTTTGGTTTTTAATATACCCACAGCTTTGGTTAGGTTGTTTGTTTTTTTTTTTTTTTTTTTTTTTTTAATAAATCCAGAGTTTTGATTGTTTTTTATATAAAAAACCCTCATGTTTTTTAAATAAAAAAATCTACACTTTTGGTTTCATTTCTTTCACAAACCAAAAAAACCCCAAAATTTTGAATAAATCCATTGACCCAGCAGAACCTGAGGCCCTGCAGAAAAAAAAAAAAAAAGGCAAAAAAAAAAGGCCAAAAATAAAGTTAAAAACTGAGGGAAGGAAAAAAAAAAACCCAAAAATCAAAAAAAAAAATTAATTTCCACGAACCAAACACTGAAAATATTTCGGGAGAGGGAGGAGGGAGGAAAAAAAAAAAAACAAACAGGGGACACAAAATAAACCCCAATAAAAATATCAAAAAAAAAGATAAATTGGGAGAGAAGAAATGAAAGCTCTCGGCACGGGGGGGACCCCAAAATCCGGGGGGAGGGACCCCCAGCCCCTCCCCCCCTCTGTACACGCGGGGGTCCCTTGGGCCAGGCCTATGTACAACCCCCCTGGCGGTCACTCCTTGACCACTCGGGGTCACTCCTTGACCACTCGGGGTCACTCTTTGGCCACCCCGGGGTCACTCTTTGGCCACCCCGGGGTCACTCCTTGCGCTTGGCCACCGCCAGCTCCAGGCCGGGCACGCGGACCGCGGCGCGGGCCACGCCCTCGGAGGAGGACGAGGAGGACAGGCGGGATTTGGGGGACCCCGGCGCCCGCCCCCCGTCCTCGGGCGCGGCCGTCACCTCGTAGCAGCCCTTGGCCTTGGAGCCGATGCCCCCGAAGGTCCCGAATTTGCCCTTGGGCTGCCGGCCGGCCTCGGGCTCGGCCGCGTGCTCGTCGCTGAAGGACGACGAGCGCGGCCGCGGTTTCTTGCTGCGGAACAGCGAGAACTTGGCCTTGGCCGCCGGCGCCTCGGCCTCCGGCTCGCCCTCGGCCGGGCCCAGGCTGGCCTTGGAGCTCTTGAGGTCGCCCTTGGAGCCGGACACCGAGCCCGACGCCGCCTCGGGGGACGCCGGCGTGGCTCCGCCGCCGGCGCGGCCTTTCTGCTTGGAGAAGTTGAATTTGGGCATCTTGAGCTTGGATTTCTTCAGCCGCGCCTCGGCCTCGTCCGGCTCCGGCTCGGCCGCCTCGGCGCCGGGGAAGTCGACGTCCACCCCGACCTCGCGGCCCTTGGCCTCGGGCTCGGAGAAGACGAATTTGGGCATCCGCAGCTTGGGGAAGGAGACTTTGACCTGGCCGCCCTCGGCGCCCGCCTTGGGGCAGGAGGCGTGGAAGGTTCCGGAAGCGGCGCCGACCGACGGCGGCGTCACCTCGACCCCGCCTTTCACCTTCGGCCCTTTCACGTTGACGTTCAACCCCGAGCCGGACACTTCCAGGGCCGGAGCCTCCAGGTGGACGCCCACCCCTTCCACGCTGACCTTTGACCCTTTGATGTCACCGGCCGCGTCCACGTTTGGTCCTTTCAGCCTCAGGTCGACGTCCGGCGTGGAGAATTTCGGCCCTTTCAGCTCCACCTCGGGGCCTTCCAGCCCCAAACCGGAGCCCTTCAGCCCCCCCTTGAGCTGGGGGCCCTCCAGAGTGACCCCCGCGTCCCCCCCGTCCACGCCGGGGCTGGAGATGCTGAACTGGGGCAGCTTCAGGGACGGGAGCTTGATGGTGCCCCCCAAAATTTCCAAGCCGGAGTTGTCTGCCGACACCTGGGGGGATTTGACGCCGACGTCTCCTTTCAACTTTGGTCCTTTCGCGTTGACATCCAAATCCAGGCCGGAGACGTCCAGCGAGGGTCCCTGGAGGTCCAGGGTGGCCCCCGGGGACTGGACGGAGCAGGGGACGCCCCCTTGGACCTCCAGCGTCGGGGACTTCACCGTGGGCAGCTTCACCTTCCCCCCGAGGCCGCCGAGGTCCAGGCCGGGCGCGTCCACGGAGCCCGAAATGTCCAAATCTCCCTTTAATTTTGGTCCTTTCAGGCTCCCCTCCAACTCAGGTCTGGAGATTTGGGGCCCTTTGAGCTTCACGTCCACCTCCGAGCTCACGTCCGGCATTTCCAGCCCCAAACCCGTTTTCCCCCCCTTGGGCCATCCCAGGTTCACCTCGGGACCTTCCAGTTGTGCTCCGGCAATGCCAACTTCACCTTTTACTTTTGGTCCTTTCACGCTGACGTCCGGTGCCGCGGCCGAGGGGACGGTGACGTCGATCCCGGTGGGGCCCTTCAGGTCCCCCCCGATTTTCACGTCCCCCGTGCCCACCTGGACCCCGGGGAGTTTGAATTTCGGGCTCTTCAGGTTCACCTCAGGACCTTCAAGATCCGCGTTGAGGCTCGGGCCCTTGAGGTCGCCCTTGACCTCCAGATCGCCCTCGACTTTCGGGACCCCCACCGAGGCCTCCCCGCGGAATTTGTGCGATTTCAGGTCGAATTCGACGTCCGGGAAGGAGATCTTCCCAAACATGGGTTTCTTGCCTTTGGGGGACTTCATGGCGGCGTTGCCCCCGACGGTGACGTCGGGGCTGGGGACGTTGAGCTCCGCGTCCAGCTCGGCCCCTGCCGCGTTCACGTCGAAGGCGCCCTTCTTGCCCTTCACTTTGGGGCCGGGGGACCCCAAAATCCGGGGGGAGGGACCCCCAGCCCCTCCCCCCCTCTGTACACGCGGGGGTCCCTCGGGCCAGGCCTATGTACAACCCCCCTGGCGGTCACTCCTTGACCACTCGGGGTCACTCCTTGACCACTCGGGGTCACTCTTTGGCCACCCCGGGGTCACTCTTTGGCCACCCCGGGGTCACTCCTTGCGCTTGGCCACCGCCAGCTCCAGGCCGGGCACGCGGACCGCGGCGCGGGCCACGCCCTCGGAGGAGGACGAGGAGGACAGGCGGGATTTGGGGGACCCCGGCGCCCGCCCCCCGTCCTCGGGCGCGGCCGTCACCTCGTAGCAGCCCTTGGCCTTGGAGCCGATGCCCCCGAAGGTCCCGAATTTGCCCTTGGGCTGCCGGCCGGCCTCGGGCTCGGCCGCGTGCTCGTCGCTGAAGGACGACGAGCGCGGCCGCGGTTTCTTGCTGCGGAACAGCGAGAACTTGGCCTTGGCCGCCGGCGCCTCGGCCTCCGGCTCGCCCTCGGCCGGGCCCAGGCTGGCCTTGGAGCTCTTGAGGTCGCCCTTGGAGCCGGACACCGAGCCCGACGCCGCCTCGGGGGACGCCGGCGTGGCTCCGCCGCCGGCGCGGCCTTTCTGCTTGGAGAAGTTGAATTTGGGCATCTTGAGCTTGGATTTCTTCAGCCGCGCCTCGGCCTCGTCCGGCTCCGGCTCGGCCGCCTCGGCGCCGGGGAAGTCGACGTCCACCCCGACCTCGCGGCCCTTGGCCTCGGGCTCGGAGAAGACGAATTTGGGCATCCGCAGCTTGGGGAAGGAGACTTTGACCTGGCCGCCCTCGGCGCCCGCCTTGGGGCAGGAGGCGTGGAAGGTTCCGGAAGCGGCGCCGACCGACGGCGGCGTCACCTCGACCCCGCCTTTCACCTTCGGCCCTTTCACGTTGACGTTCAACCCCGAGCCGGACACTTCCAGGGCCGGAGCCTCCAGGTGGACGCCCACCCCTTCCACGCTGACCTTTGACCCTTTGATGTCACCGGCCGCGTCCACGTTTGGTCCTTTCAGCCTCAGGTCGACGTCCGGCGTGGAGAATTTCGGCCCTTTCAGCTCCACCTCGGGGCCTTCCAGCCCCAAACCGGAGCCCTTCAGCCCCCCCTTGAGCTGGGGGCCCTCCAGAGTGACCCCCGCGTCCCCCCCGTCCACGCCGGGGCTGGAGATGCTGAACTGGGGCAGCTTCAGGGACGGGAGCTTGATGGTGCCCCCCAAAATTTCCAAGCCGGAGTTGTCTGCCGACACCTGGGGGGATTTGACGCCGACGTCTCCTTTCAACTTTGGTCCTTTCGCGTTGACATCCAAATCCAGGCCGGAGACGTCCAGCGAGGGTCCCTGGAGGTCCAGGGTGGCCCCCGGGGACTGGACGGAGCAGGGGACGCCCCCTTGGACCTCCAGCGTCGGGGACTTCACCGTGGGCAGCTTCACCTTCCCCCCGAGGCCGCCGAGGTCCAGGCCGGGCGCGTCCACGGAGCCCGAAATGTCCAAATCTCCCTTTAATTTTGGTCCTTTCAGGCTCCCCTCCAACTCAGGTCTGGAGATTTGGGGCCCTTTGAGCTTCACGTCCACCTCCGAGCTCACGTCCGGCATTTCCAGCCCCAAACCCGTTTTCCCCCCCTTGGGCCATCCCAGGTTCACCTCGGGACCTTCCAGTTGTGCTCCGGCAATGCCAACTTCACCTTTTACTTTTGGTCCTTTCACGCTGACGTCCGGTGCCGCGGCCGAGGGGACGGTGACGTCGATCCCGGCGGGGCCCTTCAGGTCCCCCCCGATTTTCACGTCCCCCGTGCCCACCTGGACCCCGGGGAGTTTGAATTTCGGGCTCTTCAGGTTCACCTCAGGACCTTCAAGATCCGCGTTGAGGCTCGGGCCCTTGAGGTCGCCCTTGACCTCCAGATCGCCCTCGACTTTCGGGACCCCCACCGAGGCCTCCCCGCGGAATTTGTGCGATTTCAGGTCGAATTCGACGTCCGGGAAGGAGATCTTCCCAAACATGGGTTTCTTGCCTTTGGGGGACTTCATGGCGGCGTTGCCCCCGACGGTGACGTCGGGGCTGGGGACGTTGAGCTCCGCGTCCAGCTCGGCCCCTGCCGCGTTCACGTCGAAGGCGCCCTTCTTGCCCTTCACTTTGGGGCCGCTCATGTGGATTTTGGGCATCTTGAACTTGCTCTTCTTGCCCTTCCCGGACAGGTGGGCCTCAGGTGACTCCACATTCAGCTCCGCCTCAGGTAAATCCACCTCCGCCTTGGGGCTTTTCATTCCGAACCCAAATTTGGACTTTTTAAACTTGGGAACTTTGATGTTGGCTTCTGGGACCTCGACGTTCAGGTCAGGACACTCAACGTCAACTTCAGGGCCTTTGACCCCGAATTCTGGGCCTTTGAGGTCGACCTCGGGGCCTTTCAGGTGACCTTCCACCTTTGGGGTGGAAATGTCAAAGCCGCCCTTGGTTTTGTGGCCTTTCAGGTTCAAGTCTATCTCGGGCATGGAGATTTTGGGGACGTTCACATGCATTTCAGGCATTTTCACTTTAGGACCTTTCACTTTGCCCTCCAGACCTTCAACGTTGACCTCTGGCAGGCTGACATCAACCTTGGGGACGGACAGATCCACCTCGGCCTTCGGCAAGTCCACGTCCACTTCGGGACCTTCGCCCTTCAAGCCAAATTTGGGCATTTTCATTTTGGGCAGCTTCACTTTCCCCTCCAGACCGTCAACATCAACCGCCGGGCCCTCAATGTCGACTTTGGGGCCTTTGATGTTGACCTCGGGGCCCTTCAGACCCCCCTCGAGCTTGGGGCCGTGCAGGTCAGCGTCACCTTTGACCTTCAGGCCCTTCAGGTTCAGGTCGATGTCGGGCATGGAGATCTGGGGGGTCTTGACGTGAATTTCGGGCATCTGGACCTTGGGCCCTTCCAGGGTCACGTCCGGTGCCTGAATGTCCACTTTGGGGCCCTTGAGGTCGACATCTGGGCACTGCAGGTTCCCCTCCAGCTTGGGGACAGAGATGTCGATGTCACCCTTGACTTTGGGGCCCTTGAGGTTGAAGTCAACGTCGGGCATGGAGATTTTGGGGGCCTTGATGTTCATCTCGGGCATCTTGAACTTGGGGCCTTTGATCTTCCCCTCAGGACCTTCCAACTCAACACCAGGGAGGTCAACATCGACTTTGGGGCCTTTGATGTCAATTTCGGGACCTTTCAGGTCTCCCTCAAGCTTTGGGACAGAGACATCGACATCCCCCTTCAGTTTGGGGCCCTTCAGGTTGAAATCGACGTCGGGCATGGAGATCTTGGGGGCCTTGATGTGCATCTCGGGCATGGAAAATTTGGGACCTTTGACTTTGCCGTCCACGCTCAGCTCAGGAGCCTCCACGTCCACGCTGGGGCCTGAAATAGACACGTCACCCTTGGGGAGGGTCAGGTCCGCGTCCACCCCGTCCCCTTTGAATCCAGGCATGGAGAATTTGGGCATCTTGAACTTGGGGAGCTTGAATTTGCCCTCGGGGCCGTCGATGCTGACATCGGGGGCGGTGACGTTGACCTCGGGACCTTTCAGCTCTCCTTCCACACTGGGCAGGGACAGGTCCACGTCACCTTTGACCTTGGGGCCCTTCAGGTTCAGGTCGAGGTCGGGCATCGAGATCTTAGGGGCCTTGATGTGCATCTCAGGCATCTTGAACTTGGGACCCTTCACCTTCCCCTCTGGCAGCTCCACGTCCACCTCTGGGCCTTCAATGTCCACCTTGGGGCCGGACACATCCAGGGCTCAACATCAGGGAGATCAACATCCACTTTGGGGCCTTTGATGTCGATGTCTGGGGCTTTCAGGTCCCCTTCCACTTTGGGGACAGACACATCAATGTCTCCCTTTAATTTGGGGCCTTTCAGGTTCAGATCAAAGTCGGGCATGGAGATTTTGGGGGCCTTGATGTTCATCTCGGGCATCTTGAACTTGGGGCCTTTGATCTTCCCCTCAGGGCCCTCAATTTGGACATCTGGAGCAGAAACATCAAATTCGGGGCCTTTCACGTCCACCTTTGGCCCTTTCAGGTCTCCTTCCACGCTTGGCAGTGACACGTCCACGTCGCCCTTGACTTTGGGACCCTTCAGGTTCAGGTCAAAGTCGGGCATGGAGATCTTGGGGGCCTTGCAACATCGGGGAGATCAACATCCACTTTGGGGCCCTTGAGGTCAATTTCAGGACCTTTCAGGTCCCCTTCCACTTTGGGAAGGGAAACATCGACATCGCCCTTCAGTTTGGGGCCCTTCAGGTTCAGGTCGATGTCGGGCATGGAGATCTTGGGGGTCATGTCCACCTCTGGACATTCAATGTCCACCTTGGGGCCTTTGATGTCGACGTCCGGCAAGCTCAGGTCTCCTTCGATTTTTGGTGCGGACAGATCGACGTCCACCCCCCCTTTGACCTTGGGACCTTTCAGGTTGAGGTCCAGCTCCGGCATGGAGAGGTTGGGAGCTTTGATGTTCATCTCGGGCATTTTAAATTTGGGGCCTTTGATTTTCCCTTTCGGACCTTCGACGTCGATGTCGGGAACTTCCACGTCCACCTTGGGTCCTTTCAGATCCACCTGGGGCAGGGACACGTCCATGTCCCCCTTCACTTTGGGGCCCTTCAGGTTGAGGTCGATGTCAGGCATGGAGATCTTGGGGGCCTTGATGTTCATCTCGGGCATCTTGAACTTGGGGCCTTTGATCTTCCCCTCCGGCCCCTCAATGTCCACCTCCGGACCTTCAATGTCCACTTTCGGACCGGACACATCCAGTTCTCCTGTCGGCAGGTTGACGTCCACCTCTGGCCCCTCCCCTTTAAACCCAGGAACACCAAATTTGGGCATTTTGAACTTGGGCATTTTGATTTTCCCTTCTGGGCCATGAACATCCACATCGGGGGCCTCGATGTTGACCTTTGGGCCCTTGATGTCCACCTCAGGCCCTTTCAGCTCCCCTTCCAGTTTGGGGGTGGACAGGTCAAACTCCCCCTTCATTTTGTGCCCCTTCAGGTTCAGCTCCACGTCCGGCATCGAGACTTTGGGTGAAGAAATGTTCAGAAAAGGCATTTTGAATTTGGAACCCTTGGATTTTCCCTGGATATCCAAATCCGGAGCCTGGACCTCGACTTTCGGTCCGGACAGTTCCACCTCAGGTTTTTTCAGCTTCACATCCACCTCGGGGCTTTGAACTTTGGGGCCAGAAAAGCCAAACTTGGGAAGTTTAAACCTGGATTTTTTAGCTTTTCCTTCGAGGTCAACCTTTGGCCCCTCCAGCTCAAGCTCCGGCCCCTTGATGTCCATTTTGGGGCCTTTCAGCTCGCCCTCGACCTTGGGAAGAGAAGCATCGAGGTCACCTTTGATTTTGGGGCCTTTCAGGTTCAGGTCGATGTCGGGCATGGAGATCTTGGGGACGTTGAACTGCAGCTCCGGCTTCTTGAACTTGGGGCCCTTCAGTTTCCCTTCGGGGCCTTCAATGTCCAGGTCGGGGACGGAAACGTCGACTTTTGGACCAGAAATGTTGACCTCAGCCTCGGGGAGGTTCACGTCCACGTCGGGGCCTTCCACTTTGGGCCCAGAAAAGCCGAATTTGGGCATTTTGAACTTGGGCATTTTAACTTTCCCTTCTGGGCCATGAATGTCCACGTCGGGTGCTTCAATGTCCACTTTGGGGCCTTTGATGTCGATGTCTGGGGCTTTCAGGTCACCCTCGAGCTTTGGAACAGAGACATCGACATCCCCCTTCAGTTTGGGGCCTTTGAGGTTGAAGTCAACGTCGGGCATGGAGATCTTGGGGGCCTTGATGCAGCTCCACGTCCACCTCTGGGCCTTCAATGTCCACCTTGGGGCCGGACACATCCAGGTTTCCTGTTGGGAGGTTCACGTCCACCTCGGGGCCTTCTGCCTTGACCCCAGGCATCCCAAATTTGGGCATCTTGAACTTGGGGCCTTTGATCTTCCCCTCGGGACCTTCCAGCTCAACATCGGGGAGATCAACATCCACTTTGGGGCCTTTGATGTCGATGTCTGGGGCTTTCAGGTCACCCTCGAGCTTTGGAACAGAGACATCGACATCCCCCTTCAGTTTGGGGCCTTTGAGGTTGAAGTCAACGTCGGGCATGGAGATCTTGGGGGCCTTGATGCAGCTCCACGTCCACCTCTGGGCCTTCAATGTCCACCTTGGGGCCGGACACATCCAGGTTTCCTGTTGGGAGGTTCACGTCCACCTCGGGGCCTTCTGCCTTGACCCCAGGCATCCCAAATTTGGGCATCTTGAACTTGGGGCCTTTGATCTTCCCCTCGGGACCTTCCAGCTCAACATCGGGGAGATCAACATCCACTTTGGGGCCTTTGATGTCGATGTCTGGGGCTTTCAGGTCACCCTCGAGCTTTGGAACAGAGACATCGACATCCCCCTTCAGTTTGGGGCCTTTGAGGTTGAAGTCAACGTCGGGCATGGAGATCTTGGGGGCCTTGATGCAGCTCCACGTCCACCTCTGGGCCTTCAATGTCCACCTTGGGGCCGGACACATCCAGGTTTCCTGTTGGGAGGTTCACGTCCACCTCGGGGCCTTCTGCCTTGACCCCAGGCATCCCAAATTTGGGCATCTTGAACTTGGGGCCTTTGATCTTCCCCTCGGGACCTTCCAGCTCAACATCGGGGAGATCAACATCCACTTTGGGGCCTTTGATGTCGATGTCTGGGGCTTTCAGGTCACCCTCGAGCTTTGGAACAGAGACATCGACATCCCCCTTCAGTTTGGGGCCTTTGAGGTTGAAGTCAACGTCGGGCATGGAGATCTTGGGGGCCTTGATGCAGCTCCACGTCCACCTCTGGGCCTTCAATGTCCACCTTGGGGCCGGACACATCCAGGTTTCCTGTTGGGAGGTTCACGTCCACCTCGGGGCCTTCTGCCTTGACCCCAGGCATCCCAAATTTGGGCATCTTGAACTTGGGGCCTTTGATCTTCCCCTCGGGACCTTCCAGCTCAACATCGGGGAGATCAACATCCACTTTGGGGCCTTTGATGTCGATGTCTGGGGCTTTCAGGTCACCCTCGAGCTTTGGAACAGAGACATCGACATCCCCCTTCAGTTTGGGGCCTTTGAGGTTGAAGTCAACGTCGGGCATGGAGATCTTGGGGGCCTTGATGCAGCTCCACGTCCACCTCTGGGCCTTCAATGTCCACCTTGGGGCCGGACACATCCAGGTTTCCTGTTGGGAGGTTCACGTCCACCTCGGGGCCTTCTGCCTTGACCCCAGGCATCCCAAATTTGGGCATCTTGAACTTGGGGCCTTTGATCTTCCCCTCGGGACACTCCAGCTCAACGTCGGGGAGGTCCACATTGACTTTGGGGCCTTTGATGTCGATGTCTGGGGCCTTCAGGTCACCCTCGAGCTTTGGAACAGAGACATCGACATCCCCCTTCAGTTTGGGGCCTTTGAGGTTGAGGTCGATGTCGGGCATGGAGATCTTGGGGGCCTTGATGTGCATCTCGGGCATCTTGAACTTGGGGCCCTTCAGTTTCCCCTCAGGACACTCCAGGTCAACGTCGGGAAGGTTGACATCAACTTTGGGGCCTTTGATATCGATTTCGGGGCCCTTCAGGTCACCCTCCATCTTTGGAGCTGAAACATCAACGTCCCCCTTCAATTTGGGGCCTTTCAGGTTGAGATCGAAGTCGGGCATGGAGATCTTGGGGGCCTTGAAGTGCATCTCGGGCATCTTGAACTTGGGGCCTTTGATCTTCCCTTCTGGGCATTCCAGCTCCACATCGGGCACCTCGACATCAACTTTTGGACCTTTCAGTGACACCTCCGGCCCTTTCAGGTCCCCTTCAAGCTTTGGCACGGACACATCAACATCACCTTTGACCTTGGGGCCCTTCAGGTTCAGATCAAAGTCAGGCATGGAGATCTTGGGGGCCTTGAAGTGCATCTCGGGCATCTTGAACTTGGGGCCCTTCACCTTTCCCTCCGGGAGATCAATGTCCACGTCGGGAGCTTCGATGTCCACTTTGGGACCTTTGATGTCCACGTCTGGGCCCTTCAGGTCACCTTCCAGTTTGGGGGCGGAAATGTCTACGTCCCCCTTCAGTTTGGGGCCCTTCAGGTTGAAGTCGATATCAGGCATGGAGATCTTGGGGGTTTTGAAGTGCATCTCGGGCATCTTGAACTTGGGGCCCTTCAGTTTCCCCTCGGGACACTCCAGGTCGACGTCGGGGAGATCCACATCGACTTTGGGGCCTTTGATGTCGACCTCTGGAGCCTTCAAATCTCCCTCGATTTTCGGGAGGGACACATCCACGTCTCCCTTCACTTTGGGGCCCTTCAGGTTCAGATCAAAGTCGGGCATGGAGATCTTGGGGGCCTTGAAGTGCATCTCGGGCATCTTGAACTTGGGGCCTTTGATCTTCCCCTCGGGGCCCTCCAGTTCGATGTCAGGGACATCCACGTCCACTTTGGGTCCTTTCAACTCCACATCTGGCACTGTCACGTCACCTTCTATTTTTGGGGCAGACACGCCCACTTCTCCCTTCAGTTTGGGACCCTTCAGGTTCAAGTCAACATCCGGCAGAGAAAATTTCGGCGCCTTGATGTTCATCTCTGGCATCTTGATCTTGGGTCCCTTCCACTTCCCCTCTGGACCTTCAACGTCCACGTCAGGAACGTCCACATCCACCTTCGGACCTTTAATGTTCACATCCGGACCTTTCAGGTCGCCCTCCAGTTTGGGGACGGAGACATCCACACCCCCCTTGACTTTGGGGCCTTTCAGGTTCAGATCGATGTCGGGCATGGAGATCTTGGGGGCCTTGATGTTCATCGCGGGCATCTTGAACTTGGGGCCTTTGATCTTCCCCTCTGGGCCCTCAATGTCCACACTTGGCATCTCAATGTCCACCTTGGGGCCGGACACATCCAGGTCTCCTTTTGGGAGGTTCACGTCCACCTCGGGACCTTCTCCCTTCATCCCAAATTTGGGCATCTTGAACTTGGGCATCTTGAATTTCCCCTCAGGGCCATGAATGTCCACGTCAGGTGCTTCAATGTCCACTTTGGGGCCCTTGATATCCAATTCGGGGCCCTTCAGGTCACCTTCCAGCTTTGGAGCAGAAACATCAACATCTCCCTTGACTTTGGGGCCCTTCAGGTTCAGATCAAAGTCGGGCAATGTCCACCTCTGGGCCAGAAATGTCCACCTTGGGGCCGGACACATCCAGGTCTCCTTTTGGGAGGTTCACGTCCACCTCGGGGCCTTCTCCCTTCATCCCAAATTTGGGCATTTTGAATTTGGGCATCTTAAATTTTCCTTCTGGCCCCTCAGGGCCATGAATGTCCACGTCGGGTGCTTCAATGTCCACTTTGGGGCCCTTGAGGTCAATTTCGGGACCTTTCAGCTCACCCTCCATCTTGGGGACAGAGACATCGACATCTCCCTTCAGTTTTGGACCCTTTAGATTCAAATCAATGTCCGGCATGGAGATCTTGGGGGTCTTGAAATGCATCTCGGGCATCTTGAACTTGGGGCCTTTGATCTTCCCCTCTGGCAGCTCCACGTCCACCTCTGGGCCTTCAATGTCCACCTTGGGGCCAGACACATCCAGGTCTCCTTTTGGGAGGTTCACGTCCAGCTCGGGACCCTCTACCTTGACCCCGGGCATCCCAAATTTGGGCATCTTGAACTTGGGCATCTTGAATTTCCCCTCAGGGCCGTGAATGTCCACGTCGGGTGCTTCAATGTCCACTTTGGGGCCCTTAATGTCCAGTTCAGGCCCCTTCAGGTCACCCTCCAGCTTTGGAAGGGACACGTCCACGTCGCCCTTGACTTTGGGGCCCTTCAGGTTGATGTCCACGTCGGGCATGGAGATCTTCTGTGTCTTGATGTGCATCTCGGGCATCTTGAACTTGGGGCCTTTGATCTTCCCCTCGGGACCCTCCAAATCCACGCCGGGCACCTCGACGTCCACTTTTGGCCCTTTAATGTCCACTTCTGGAGCTTTCAACTCCCCTTCCACCTTGGGGAGGGACACGTCCACATCTCCCTTCACTTTGGGTCCCTTCAGGTTCAAATCCACGTCCGGCATTGAGATTTTGTGGGGTTTGATGTTCAGCTTCGGCATCCGGAATTTGGGACCTTTCCATTTCCCTTCCACTCCTGCAACGTCCACCTCCGGCCCCTCAACGTCCACCTCTGGCCCAGAGATGTCCACCTCTCCTTTGGGCAGGGTCACGTCCACCTCGGGCCCCTCCATTTTGGGGCCGGACACGTTGAAATGAGGCAATTTCATTTTGGGCATTTTCAGTTTAGCCTCTGGACCCTCCAGGTGGACGTCCGGGACCTCCACGTCCACCTTCGGCCCCTTGATGTCACCTTCGACCTTGGGGAGGGACACGTCCACCTCTCCCTTCACTTTGTGTCCCTTCAGGTTCAAATCCACGTCCGGCATTGAGATTTTGGGGGATTTGATGTTGAGTTTCGGCATCTTGAATTTGGGGCCTTTCACCTTCCCTTCTGGACATTCCAAGTCCACCTCGGGCACGTCAACATCCAACCTGGGACCTTCCACTTCCAACCTGGGACCTTCCACATCCAACTTGGGACCTTTCACGTCGATTTTGGGACTTTCCACATCCAACTTGGGAACTTTCACGTCGATTTTGGCACCTTCCACATCCACTTTGGGGCCTTTCACGTCGATTTTTGGGCCCTTCAGCCCAGAAATTCCAACGTCCCCTTTGAGTTTCGGGGCCTTCAAGCCCAGATCCACGTCTGGCATGGAGAGTTTTGGGGTCTGAACGTTGAGTTCGGGCATTTTGAACTTGAGGCCTTTCCCTTTGACCTCCGGCCCCTCCACGTCCACGCTCGGGACGTCGATGTCCACCTTGGGGGCGGAAATGTCCACTTGCCCCTTGGGGAGCGTCACCTCCAGCTCGGGGCTCTCTCCCTTCACCCCAAATTTGGGCATTTTCATCTTGGGGAACTTCAGTTTGCCCTCGGGCCCTTGGACGTCCAAATCTGGGGCTTCAACCTCAACTTTGGGGCCCTTGATGTCCAATCCGGGGGTCTTCAGCTCCCCTTCCAGTTTTGGGGTGGAAACGTCCAAATCTGCCTTGATTTTGGGCCCTTTGAGGTTCAGATCGATGTCAGGCATGGAGATCTGGGGGGTTTTGATGCTCACCTCGGGCACCTTCACCTTGGGGCCCTTCAGCTCCACGCCGGGGACCTCGACGGCGACACCGGGACCTGAAACGTCCACTCCGCCCTTGGGAAGGGCCACCTCGAGCTCGGGGCTCTCTCCCTTCACCCCAAATTTGGGCATTTTCATCTTGGGGAACTTCAGTTTGCCCTCGGGCCCTTGGACGTCCAAATCTGGGGCTTCAACCTCGACTTTGGGGCCTTTGACGTCCAGCTCGGGGCCCTTCAAACCCGGCATGGACACGTCCAGGTCGCCGCTGGCCTTGGCACCGTTCATGGTCAGGTCCACGTCCGGCACGGAAATTTTGGAGCCCTTGAGGTGCATTTGGGGCCCCTGGATGTCCAAACTTGGCGCCTCAACGTCCACCTTGGGGCCGGACACCTCCACGCCGCCCTTGGGGAGGTTCACGTCCAGCTCTGGACCTTCTGCTTTGACCCCGGGCATCCCAAATTTGGGCATTTTGAACTTGGGCATCTTGAATTTGCCCTCGGGGCCATGGACGTCCACTTCGGGTGCTTCAATGTCCACTTTGGGGCCCTTGATATCCACGCTGGGGACGCTGACGTCCACCTTGGGGCAGGAGACGTCCACCCCCGCTTTGGGAAGGGTCACGTCAACGCTGGGGCTCTCTCCCTTCACCCCAAATTTGGGCATTTTCATCTTGGGGAACTTCAGTTTGCCCTCGGGCCCCTGGATCTCCATTTCTGGGCTCCCAACCTCGACTTTGGGGCCTTTGATGTCCAGTCCGGGGGTCTTCAGCTCCCCTTCCAGTTTTGGGGCAGAAACATCCAGATTTCCCTTCACTCCGGGCCCTTTCAGGCTCAGGTCGACGTCGGGCACGGAGATTTGGGGGGTCTTGACGCTCATCTCGGGCACCTTCACAGCGGGGCCCTTGATGTCCACTCCGGGCACCTCCACCCCAATTTGGGGCCCTTTAAGGTCCAGTTGGGGTCCCCTCAATTCGCCCCCCACGGTCGGCACGGACACGTCCACTCCTCCCTTCAGGCCAACGTCCATCTCCACGCCCTTCAGGCCACCCCCTGGCCCGGCCACGTCCACCTGGGGACCCTTCATGTCCACCTGGAGCCCCTTGGGGCAGAGTCCTTTGAGGTCCCCTTCCCCTCTGGGGCCCTTCAGGTTCAGGTTCACGTCCGACAGCGAAATTTGGGGCGTTTCCACCTTCTTGAAGGTAGGGCCTTTCCATTCTCCTTCCGGGGCCACCTCGGGCACGGCCACGCCCTTGGGGACATCCGCGGTGCCGCCGTCGCCCTGGGCGGTGAATTTGGGGAAGGTCAAGTGCGGGATTTTGATTTTCCCCTTGGCGCCGTCCGGGGCCGCGACCTCCAAGCCGGGGACGTCCAGAGGAGGGGAGGGGACCTTGGTGGCACCTTTGACCGCCACGTCCACCTGCGGCACCGGGGCTTTGCCGGACGGGGACGAAACGTCCGGCGCGGGCGAGCAGGTGACGTCCATCCCCGCGCCCACCTGCGGGGCCACAGCTTCGCCGCCGGCCTGGAACCCGAATTTGGGGATTTTTAACGTCGGGATCTTGATTTTCCCCACGTCCACGGGTGGCGAGGAGCCGCTGACCTCTCCCTGCGGACACGGAGCCCCGCCGGACACGTGGAACGACCCGTCCGGCTCTCCAAACTGTCCGTTGGCCTCGACCCGGGGCGACCCCGGGAAGGCGCCGGAGCCCTTCCAGCCCGGCAGGGATTTTCCAGTTTCTCCAGCAGGAATTTGGCTCTGGGGCTCTGTTCTCAGGTGGAGCCCCTCGGGTGCGCCGGGCAGGACCCCCGGCCCAGCTCGGACATCGGCGCCGAGCTCCGGCGTGGGGACGCGGACGTTGAAGTCGGGGCCGCCGAGGACGCCGAGGTCGCCGTCGTGGCTGCTGACGTCCACGGTGTAGGCGGTGACCTTGCGGGTGACCGTGATGGTTCTGCTCTGCGTGGCCCCGGCCTCGGCCTCGGCGCCCTCCTCGGACTTGAGCCGCGGTTTGATTTTGGTGGTGTAGATGCGCTGGTACTCCTCGTCATCGCCGCTCTGCGGAGGAGAGGGTGAGCGCCGGACGCTGCTTCCTCCCCGTGCCCATCCTCATCCTCATCCCCGTCCTTGTCCTCATCCCCATCCTCATCCTCATCCTCATCCTCATCCCCGTCCTTGTCCCCATCCCCATCCTCATCCTCATCCTCATCCCCGTCCTTGTCCTCATCCCTGTCCTTGTCCCCATCCTCATCCTCATCCTCATCCTCATCCTCATCCTCATCTTCATCCCTGTCCTTGTCCTCATCCTCATCCTCTTCCCCATCCTTGTCCTCATCCCACTGATCCTCATCCCCCTCATCCTCATCCTCCCCACCATTCTCGTCCTCATCCTCCCCCCTCCTCATCTCCAACACCCTCATCTCCATCCTTATCTTCATCCTCATCCCCATCCTCCTCCTCCCCACTGTTCTTGTCCTCATCCTCTCCCATCCTCATCATCTTCATCTCCATCCTTATCTTCATCTTCATCCTCATCCTCCTCCCCACCATTCTCATCCTCATCCTCCCCCATCCTCATCCTCATCCTCATCTTCATCATCTTCATCCTCATCTTCATCCTTATCCCCATCCTCATCCTCCCCACCATTCTCATCCTCATCCTCCCCCATCCTCATCCTCATCCTCATCTTCATCATCTTCATCCTCATCTTCATCCTTATCTTCATCCTCATCCTGAGGTGACACCAAACCAGCGGGGACCATTCTCATCCTCATCCTCCCCCATCCTCATCTTCATCTCCTTAATCTTCATCCTCACCCTCATCCTCCTCCTCCCCACCATTCTCATCCTCATCCTCCCCCCTCCTCATCTTCATCACCTTCATCTCTATCCTTATCTTCATCCTCATCCTCATCCTCCCCCCTCCTCATCTTCCTCTCCTTAACCTTCACCCTCATCCTCCTCCTCCCCACATCTTCCTCCCCCTCACCCACCCACCCTCCTCCTCCTCGCTCACCAGCACGACCTCGGGGCTGCCGGGCGCGAAGGCCAGCTGGCCGCAGCCGTGTCCGAGCTGGCCGCAGCCGTGTCCGGCCGTGGGCGAGCGGTCGCCGCGGCGCTGCAGCCGCAGCCCCAGCGTGTGCTGCCCCATGCTCTGCAGCAGCTGCGCCGCCTCCCCCGACTGCAGCTTGTCGAAGTAGACGGTGGCGCTGACGATCTGATCCCCTGGGGACGGGGGACAGGGGACAGCCGGGTCAGGGGTCTGCTGGGGAGGGGACACCGGGAGGGACCCCCATGTCCCTGCCCGGGGTGAGCAGAGGAGGCAGAAGCTCCTGAGGTGACACCAAAATGGACCAAAAATCCCATTTTGAACCCCAAAACTCTCAGGGAAGAGGCCACTGTCTCCACCCATGTGACCGTGGGGTCATCAGAGGAGGCAGAAGCTCCTGAGGTGCCACCAAACAACCCCAAAAATCCAATTTTGAACCCCAAAACTCTCAGGGATGGACCCCTGTCCCTGCCTGAGTGACCGTGGGGTGAGCAGAGGAGGCAGAAGCTCCTGAGGTGACACCAAAATGGACCAAAAATCTGCCTTTGAACCCCAAAACTCTCAGGGATGGACCCCTGTCCCCACCCAGGTGACCACGGGGTGAGCAGAGGAGGCAGAAGCTCCTGAGGTGACACCAAAATTGACCAAAAATCCCATTTTGAACCCCAAAACTCTCAGGGAAGAGGCCACTGTCCCCACCGTGAGTGGGTCACTGCCCACAGGGACAGAGACAGAAGCTCCTGAGATGCCACCAGGATGTCCTGAAATCCCCAAACCTCCAATTTTAACCCCCAAACCCTGAGATTTGGACAAGATTCGGATCCCCAGCAGTTGAATCGTGGGGTGACCACCCATGGGGATGGAGACAGAAGCTCCTGAGATGCCACCAGGATGTCCCCAAGCCCCCAAAACTCCAATTTTAACCCCCAAACCCTCAAGATTTGGCCCCCAAACTCTTGAACCACAGGGTCACCACCCACGGGGATGGAGACAGAAGCTCCTGAGATGCCACCAGGATGTCCCCAGGTCCCCAAACCTCCAATTTTAACCCCCAAACCCTCAAGATTTGGTCCCCAAACGCTTGTCACCACCCACGGGGACGGAGACAGAAGCTCCTGAGATGCCACCGGGGTGTCCCCAGGTGCCCAGAGCCCCCAGGTGTGCCCACCTCACCGGATGTGGGGATGGGACATGGGACACGGGACACGGGACACGGGGATGGGACACGGTACATGGGGATGGACATGGGACACGGGGATGGACATGGGACACGGGGATGGGACACGGTACACGGGATGTGGGACACGGGGATGGGACACGGGGCACGCGGATGGACACGGGACACGGGATGTGGGAGATGGGACACGCGGATGGGACACGGGGATGGGCATGGGGCTGGACAGGGACACGGGATATGGGATATGGGACATGGGATATGGGACACGGGATATGGGATATGGGGATGGACATGGGACACGGGGCACGGGGCTGGGGTCAGCATGGGGATGGACACGGGACTGGACACAGGATGTGGGAGATGGGACACGGGGCACGCGGATGGGACACGGGACACGGGATGTGGGGATGGACACAGGATATGGGGATGGGACATGGGACATGGGGATGGACACGGGACACGGGGCAAGGGGATGGACACGGGGATGGACATGGGGATGGACACAGGATACGGGACACGGCACATGGGATACGGGATATGGGACACAGAGATTGACACGGGGATGGACACGGGGCTGGACAGGGACACGGGACACGGGATATGGGACACGGGACACGGTCCTGGGGTCAATATGGGGAGGGACATGGGGTCAGGGGGCCAGGGTGGGGCCAGACATGGGGCTGGACACAGGGCACAGGTCAGTGTGGGGATGGACACGGGGCACAGGGCTGGGGTCAGCGGGGATGGACACAGGGCTGGGGGTCAAAGGGAGGGGCTGGACACTGGATTTGGGGTCAGGGTAGAGCCGGACACGGGGCTGGGAGTGGGGCTGGGGTCAGTGGGGATGGACACAGGGCTGAGAGTGGGCTGGACATGGGGCTGGGGTCAGTGTGGGAATGGACACGGGGCTGGACACGGGACATGGGACATGGGACACGGGTCAGCATGGGGATGGACACAGGGTCAGGGGGTCAGTGGGGCTGGACATGGGGCTGGCAGCCGGGCTGGACGCAGGGTGTGAGGTGGGCATGGGGTCAGAGGGGTCAGCGGGGGGCTGGACACAGGGCTGGGGGTCAAAGGGAGGGGCTGGACACCGGATTTGGGGTCAGGGTGGGGCCGGACACGGGGCTGGACATGGGGTCTGGGGTCAGGGCAGTGGCCGGACACGAGGTGTGGGTCCGGCCAGAGGCTGGACACAGAGTCTGGGGTCAGTGGGGATGGACACGGGGCTGGACACAGGTCAGGGGTCAGGCTGGGGCTGGACACGGGGCTGGGAGAGGGACTGGACACGGGGTCCCACCCCGCCCTCCGGGGCCCCCGGAGCCCCCCGGGACTCGCTGGGACCACCAGAACCCCCCCGAAACCCCCCCGGGACCGTCCCGGGACCCCGTCCCGGAGCCGCCGCCCGTCCCGGCTCTGTCCCGGCTCTGTCCTGGGTTTGTCCCGGCTCGGTCCGGGTTTGTCCCGGGTTTGTCCCGGCCGTACCTGCGCGCTGCGGGCTCACCGGGCCATGCCCGGTGCCGGTGCTGGCGGCGCTGCCGCTGCCGCTGCCGGTGCCGGTGCCGGCGGTCGTTCAGCGGCCCCGGCGGGTCTGTGCGGAGTGGCCGCGCCCGGGCGGCTCCCGGTTCTTGTAGGGCGGCGGAGCCTCCCCCGCCCCGCGGGGAGGGCCCGGCCCGGCCCGGCCCCGGCGCAGGGAGCGGCCCGGGACAGCCCCGCCGCGGCAGCGCCCCGGGAGCGGCCGGGAATGGCACCGGGAACGGCCCGGGAACGGCACTGGGAATGGCCCGGGAACGGCCCGGGAACGGCCCGGGAACGGGACACGGGGCACCGGCGGGTCCGGGACCGGGACGGGGCAGTTCTGGTCCCCGTCTGGTCCCGGTCCTATCCCGGTTCTGGTCTCGGTACGGAGCAGTTCTGGTCCCGTTCTGATCCCGGTTCTGGGCCCGGACCGGGGCAGTTCTGGTCCCGGTTGTGGGCTCGGGACGGGGCGGTTCTGGTCCCGGTTCTGGTCCCGGTCTAGTCTCGGTTCTGGGCCCGGTCTGGTCCCGGTCTAGTCTCGGTTCTGGGTCGGTTCTGGGCCCGGACCGGGACAGTTCTGGGTCCGGTTCTGGTCCCGGTCTGGTCCCGGTTGTGGGCCCGGGACGGGGCGGTTCTGGTCCCGGTTCTGGTCCCAGTCTAGTCTCGGTTCTGGTCCCGGTCTAGTCCCGGTTCTGGGCCCGGACCGGGGCAGTTCTGGGTCCGGTCTGGTCCCGGTTCTGGGCCCGGACCGGGGCAGTTCTGGATCCCGTCTGGTCCCAGTTCTGGTCTCGGACCAGGGCGGTTCTAGTCCCGGTTCTGATCCCGGTTCTGATCCCGGTTCTGATCCCGGACCGGGGCTCTTCTGGTCCCAGTTCTGGTCCCGGTCCCGGTCCCGGTTCTGATCCCGATCGAGTCCCGGTCCCGGTCCAGGCTCCATTGGACAATCCCGGACCGGGACCCCCCAAATCCCTGCCCCGCCCCCCCC